CGCAACTGTAGTTTCTTAAGTAACTGGTTTTCTAAGAGTTTCACTTGTATTTGGTTGGACCGCAAAATGTTTTCCAGTTCGTCTTGATAATCCTTGCAGTAATCAGCCGAAGTTGAAACTTCCCCTCTACGCATTTGCACTGTAAACTTCCGAGTGTCATTTCCCATTTATAAACAAGTGTCTACTTGCTGTGCATTTCTTGTGGTGGTGGAGTTTTTACGGCGACGTGGACACATTGACTTGACTCAATATGAATCACAAAGTATTATATCGCCCAAAAGAATCGTTTAGATGATGCATTCATTGTTGTTCTGATCGCAGTTATGCCCATGTCAACCACAAGTATTACCTGCAAATCTTGGTTGCTGTTCGAATGGCCCTGACTTTAGATGCATCATTATGTTGGTGGAAGGATTAGTATGATACTAAACATGTTCATATGTTTGAAATTGTCCATTTGGAAGATTTATGAACGCAGAATTTTATGACCTCCACGTCATGACCTTGTGATGTAAATGCAGCATGCAACCAGATTATTGTTCAAATTTCGAATGGCTTCACAATGACCACTGCTATAACATACGGCCTAGTCTATCGATCAGAAAAGAAAAGGATTCAAGATTTCATTCTCGGCAGACATACAATATGATGGATTATAAGTAAATGAACAAGTTAGATTGGGTTCCCTGAATAAATGCAGTGCTTCCCAGTCACTGTGAATATCCTCCAGATGGTCGAGTTCAATACAATGATGTTTTCATTCAAATGTTTAAATACACTAACTATTTGGGGAAATGACTGAAATTCTGAAAGATCTAAAATGTACTTGTGTTCCCTTCATTCTTGGAATAATTTCAGTGCAAAGGTGAAATGGTTGTTGATTTTTTATCAGTATTGATGTGTGATAAAAGAGACAAGGTTAGACTGTCATACAAGTAAAAGGGCTCACGGCAATATGCCAAATAACGGCACTGCACAGACGTAATCAATTACATACGTTTTTAAAAAGTATGTTGGCGTTCAAATATTTGTAAAAAGCAGTAATCGTGCAAGATTAACAACAGAGTACATAAACTATTTCCCCAGAGCAACCAAGATGAGGATATTACTCTTACCTTTATTTGATTTACTGACCCTGATGTATCAAAGGCAACGGATCCAAGGTATTCATTGCAAGAAATTACAGTTGTCCTACTGACCAAAAATTGTCCTAAACGGGGAATCTTTGACTGTTCCAGTTTGTCAATGTAAAAAGAGCACCTACCCGTTAATGCACATGATAAACATTGGATCACACTTATCAGTGCCCAAGAATGTCCTTCCTATCCCAAAAGTTACTGATGAATCGAGAGATTTTCATTTTCAGAGACTAAACAAATCAGATAATTGTTTGGCATTACACAAGTAAAGATTCTTCTCACCTATCACTGACCATTGAAAATGTGTTTGGAGGAATATTTATTGTCCCAGCCACCTCTCCCCGCAAGAGGCACACTCCCATTACTCGGTCATCAATGTTACTGTTCCTTTTTCATCCCTAAATGCAAAGGAAAATAGAACACATGCCCGGAAACGGCCTGAAGATTGCTTTTAATAGGAACCTGACTATGGATAACATCCTGACTCACGAGAAGAGAGGCACCGCCAGTGGCTTCATCACCTGGAGGTGAGAATGAATGAAATTAATTGTACCGACGCAAGTCGAATTTGTCTGTACTTTTCATGTATGTCTCTTGTAGACTAAAAGCCGATGGTGTAAAATCTTGCAATAATAATTGTACATCGTTAAAACTAGAAGACTCTTCCAAAGTTTCAAGAGGCCTGTTCTTTCTTCGTACCTTTTTCTTTTCTTTATTTGAAAGGTGGACAGCACTCTCTGTTGTCTGAGTTGAATTGGTACCTGGTTGCGTTTCCTCAGTCTGGGAGGCTGATGAACACTGAGAATCAGTGGACACTGGAGTATTGTCATCCAAGGTTATTTGAGCATCATTCACCCATTATATAACAGTTTGGCAAGCATTTGAAACTGATGGAGATTAACAACAGTTGTCTAAGCAGAGGAAGAAACTGTGGCTGAATACATTGGACCAGTAGAAGGTTTTGATTGAGCATTAACTACTTTCTTCGCTACAAAGTATGAAATGTTGTTGGTGCATTTGATTTTAAGAATTTTGACTTCGTATCCAAACTTTGGGCAAGATTTAGATGATGCCAGATGGTCACCACTGCGGTTTGAGCATTTTATGGTATTATTGCAGTCAGTACTTTCATGACTACCACTGCAACGAGAGCATACAGATTTGCCTGTGCAGGACCTTGCACCCTGTCCAAATGTTTCCCACTTGTAACACATGTTTGGCACTTTGGTATATATACCTCCACTCAGATGTCACAGTATCCAGTATCCAGTATGAAAAGATTTGTATTTGGTTTCACAATGTCTAATTCTTGTTTTCTGGCAAAACGCTTCACCATAGTGACGCCTTGGTCATTCAACTCTGCCACAATCTCATCTTCGGTCATATCTGATAGACATCGGGACCAGTCTCGTACAATACCTCTGCAAGTGTTCAGAGTCGTATGCACTGAGACAAGAACCTGTTTGTTTACAAACTGCTATAAGTCCAACAGATTCACAGACTGTTGCCGCCTTACAAATTCAACCAAGATTGTTGTGCTCTCAGATTTCCAACCTCGTATTTAATCATTACTCACCTAAAATATATTTTATTCCACATTTTAAGCGTCACTCGTGGCATATCAGATCGTTCTTCGCCTCCATTACCCCTGCCAGATTCCGGTTCAAAGGAGGGAATAGACAGGGGGGATAACTCTCAATATTCTTGTTGAATCACACGTCAGAAGGTTTTTTTAAATAAATATTACGAAAATTCTAACAATAACGACGGCAGATAAGATGATTGATCTGCAACAGTTTAATGGTAAAATTGGGCAATATGAAATAATTTCTTTTTAAATTCTGCTCATTCTTGTTCCGTCACTCCGTTGAACCGGAATCTGGCAGGGGTAATGATTAAATACGAGGTTGGAAATCTGAGAGCACAACCCCCGTGACGACATTGTGTCTACCTTTGATGGTAGCGATATTTTATTTTGACATTAAAAATATTTGTCGAACCAAAGCAAGGTAAGTACGTTGCAAACCTTAGCTCGCTTCGCTCGCATATAGGAAGACTGGTCATTTTCTCTATGTTGCGCAACCTATTTGCGGTACAGTTTGCCTGTGCATGGAAAGACATTCCCCAAGAATTCGTCAATCGCTAAGCGTCGTCTAGGCGTCGTCGTTGTGAAGCCTGCATCAGCGGCAATGGTGGACACACGCAATACTGAATTTGTGAATTGACTTTTAACACCACATTTCTTCTAGGGTGTGTCACGATGCCTAGTGTCAAATATTAACATCGTGCCATGCATGTACACACAATGTACCCATGTGGGTAAAGTACCAAGTAGTATAAGATTCACCATAGGCTATTACTCTTTCGTATCCATCATTCCAAGGTTCACATGAAAAGGATCCAACGTATACTGTTCACAACATTTACTTGGAAGAAGAACACATTCAGCCTGCGATCAAGACACACGTTAGCCACTAAGCTATTAAATGATTTCAACACACTCGGATAGCTGCGATGATAATTTGTGCGAAAATCAGTCGAACGGCAGAGATTGATTTCACAACTAACATTATATATAGTTAAAGCTTAGATGCAACCCAAAACATATAGAAATAATTACAACATAATAATCATTTATTCATGACATATAATATACATTGCTGATTATGAAAAACAAATAAACGAAAGTATAAGCGTACAATCGCAAATCAAAAGTGCAATATTTTGTACTTGGGTTGACTACCCTCGAAACGAAGCAGCCGGGATACCGAACCCAGTTAGAGTGGGTGGTCGTACACTTACACTTTCATCGGCTGGTTTATTTGCCAAATCCACTCAGGGCTCTTTGTGTGTGTACAGATATGTTCGGTTTTGTAAATACATGCTTATTTTTTCTGTATTACATTATGCAATCTCCAGACATCGTAACATGTCATGTGTACAAGTATCACACCTGCCTGTCTGTGTAATTACACAATGTGACAGAGACAGAACTCGGGTGCACGAACCATAAATCAATGCGTTTTGTTTATGGTGTGTAGCCTGATAGGTGTTAAGTTCTAATTGCATGTGGTCAGTGATCAAAGTTGTGTATGGCATATTGTCATTAGCAGACAGGCAGGCAGACGCATATGTGTCAATAAAACAGGTATATTGAATTTTGGCTGTGACAGAGGCATATCTATATCACAGCAGGGATACTCTACAACAGGCCTTAAAGAGTCTCCCTGATCACAGTTAGAAATTCTGACAATGCTAAATAATGACGTTGCTGTTAAGTATCGAACTGAGGAAGTGACTTGGTGAGCAGCACGTGTGGTGAAATAGTCAAATGAAATTTATATAAACAGTTAAATTAGCAATCTACTGTCATAACATCAAAAATGAGAAAAATAGCTTACATCAAAGCCTACTCCGAGTACTCACCACCAACGAAGGTTTTTCGTCTTGAAATGTCGAACGCCTCACTGGTTGACACATAGCTGAGTAGATCTAGATCCTTAACAAGGTTCTTTTATGTAACGAGTAGATTATTTACTATTTGCTGTTTGTATACACACCCAAGATCAGACTACTCCTGCTCACGACCTTATAATCCGGGCATCCCGCTTCAAGCTGCGCGAACCTATACACTGCGCATGCGCTATGAGCGCCGCGCAACTCAGCTGTTTAAACCACTTTTCACCCCAGCTGGGGTTACTTTAGTGACTCGTTTGATATTTTTTTCATCGTGTTAATTTCTAACTTTATTAGTTGAATTTGCATTTTTGATAATTTCTTACTGTAACTCCGTACCGGTATCAGGTAAGGTATCAGAATCTGCAAAGTTGTGTTTTGCGTTGCATGTAAGCTTTAATAATAATGACATTTTCCTTTCATTCTTCTTATTGGTTGACAAGTACATCGTTAGTTATGTGATATTATTTAACCAGTAAACTTATAACTTATTCGGAGAGCTGCGATGACAATGTTCCTTTAATAGTGGTCCCACATCTCTCATGTAGCAGAGATCCATTAACATCTTACATAGTCTATAGTCATCGCATTTTCCTTTCATTCTACTTATTGGTTGACCAATACATCGTCCGAGTCAACTACAAATGTATCTTTGCATAAGGGTCTTTCTGTGAGATGTTCTCAACATCGTTGTCATCCAAAGACTCTATCGTCTCATAAGGGCTTTCCTGTAAGAGGTCCTCAACATAGTTGTCATTGATGACAGTGTACTCTGCATCCTCTTCGTCAGCCTCTTTCTCAGCATCAAGGGTATTATCTCCCGGGACTGGGTGGATGTATGATGTAACACTACGGCGTGTGTCCAGACGTGTCTTATCGTCTTTATATCCGCTTGGTCTCTGTAGACACACTGAGCTAAGAGTCCCAGCTTCAGTTGTTAAGAGGGCGTTTGGTATCTCGGCATAGTGTGTGTTGGGTGTTGCTAATTCATTACTAGAACCTGCGTTGCCATGTGGGGAAGTTCTTGCATCTTGTAGAATTACTGGGTCAAGGGTGAGATCATTAGTGACTTGTTGGAGTGTTGCCACGTCACCAAGACTTGCCTTGTCATCTGAACAAACGCCGAAACCATGTAGAATCACCTGGTCATGGGTCATATTTTCAGTTGGCAGGTGGAGCTTTGTTGTGTCGTCACAGTTTGTGTCAAGTGTTGCTGCATCCCCAAGACGTGCATTGTCATCTGGAGAAAATCGGAAACAATGAACAAACACATCATCAAGGTTCATATCTTCAGTTGCTAAGAAAATGTTTGATGTGTCATCACAGTGTGTGTCACATGTTGCTGCTTTCCCAACATGTGCGTTGTCATTTGGATAAACGCTGAAACCTTTTGGACCCTCTTGGTCAAGGGTCATATCTTCAGATGCTAAGTTGACGTTAACAGTGTCACCAAAGCGTGTGTCGTGTGATCCTTCATCTACCTCAAGGAAACGAAGACTTGTGTAACCATCAGGAGATACGCTTGCCTGCTGGAGATTTCCCGTCATTGCACCTGTAGGTCGGGGGTTGCATGCCACGTCCATCACATATGAGCTGTGCTGATTGTCGTCTCTACATTGTTGCGTCTTGTTCCTTGACATATGAAATATAACAATATTGTTGACGTAAATGCTACAAAGCCTCACACATGCCTGGTATATTGTAAATAATTATTTAGATATCTTAAGTGAATGTCTGAGCTTAACAGTTCACAGAAACATGTATCTACATAATGATTATGCAACCATATTTTATTACTCGACTGTTCTTTTCCTGCATTATCATGTACAAGTACAATGCCGGAGAGAACATGTACAAGTGTGTTTAGCAAGTACAGCATCTCCTGAAGTATTTGTCAAAGTAAATATTTCCTAATCATTTCTCGAACAAACCGTGACTGTTTTTTTCCCAAAACAATTCCAACATAAGCTATGTTCTTCGGCGTGACTGCCGCCCTCTCCTGGTAGAAGACCGTCTGTTATTCAATGAGTATGCCATGTGCCACTTACGATCTTCTTCTCCAGATGCAGAAAGCCACCAGAAGCAGTACAGACATCAGGACAAGGCCTACAGGAGGTAGAATGGCCGACACATATTGGTTTGTGCCCCAGCTGCCATATGGACTCTGAAACATAGCCACATTGAACTGTGGTAAAAAGAACTGATGTTGTCAAGGAACGCTTTACTACATATACACAAGAAGAGGATTTGACTATGATTCCAATGGTTACATTATGCAGTATGTACCCAGTTAGGGTTCTTACATACATTTGGATGAAAAAAATAGTTCAAAGATACCTTGTCCCCAAAAGGGGCAACGTAACTTAACGGATCGTCTGATCTAGACACTACATTTACAGGCCGCGGTCATGTCGCTGCAATAGTTACATTACAAACAATCCAGCAAACTTCCGAAGGAGAGATATTGTATAACAGTTACTAAATGATGGGACTCGCGGCATCATAAACAATTATAAGACATCAGTAACCACAATTCTTGGCATCGCAGGCGTCATCTTCGTGTTTGCGTTCGCTTCTTCTCGGGGAGGGTACAACGGAAGAGGCAGATATTCATTGATGACTTCGTCAGGGTTGGATTCGAAGATCTCATCCAAAAAAGGACTTTCTATAAAGAAGCCGTTCTCCACAGCAGAGTAGAATTGTACGTAAGTTGTAGTAAAACTGAAACACATATTCAGACACAAATTTAGTTACATTTAGTGACATTAATTGCAGGACGGGACACTCAAATAATTGTAGACCCGTAACTGTTGTACATTCTGCTTGTGACTTACTTGTTTTCTGTATGTGAATTTGTCATAAACTTGATATCCACCTTTCCTGGAATTACCCCGAGTTCTGTGATGAGTCTGTTCATGCCATCAGCCAGGTCACCTCTATTTGTATGATCAATCTCACCCAGGAGCGTGATATTGACAATATCTGAGCACAAACATTGTTTTATGTAAAATATGAAAAGCAAATTCTAAATTGACACCTCACAGCATGAATAAATAATTCTTTAGAATGGAGTCACAATTTGTCTATTGACATGTGTTGAAAATTATGACTATGTAATTCATAATGACGAAATAAGTAAATCTGTCATCCAAAAATGCGATCTCAATGTAATCCTTCCTGTGCCCCTTTCCATGTTGGTTAAGACAGAAGCATAACTAACACGACTGACTGACTGAGTTTGGTTTTACGCCGCTTTTAGCAATATTCCAGCAACATCACGGCGGGGGACACCAGAAATGGGCTTCACACATTGTGCCCATGTGGGGATTCGAACCCGGGTCTTCGGCGTGACGAGCCAACGCTTTAACCATTAGGCTACCCCACCGCCCCCATAACTAACACGAACTACTGTGACATTGATCTGAATCGGTTAAGGAGATTCTCAGCGTCAATTGTCTCAAACAAATTGAATACAAATAATTCACTGGCAAGACATACTGCCCAACTCTTTTTCTATATATCGTTACTTCAGTTCTGATAAAAGTAAGCCGCAAAGTGATAGAGGCACTCGTATAATATTGCCACTATTAATGACCTTGACATGAAGTGACCGCCTTTTGTTGTCTATGGTCAAACTCTGTCCATATGGATTTCTTTATATGTCTTTCAGTCAGGTCATTAAAGTGTGACAAATACTGGACTTTCCTAACTGCTCTAACTTTGTACTGTGCGCCTCTTATATCTATATTGATTCTGTGCCAAATATGTTCACGTTTGTTTTTGTATGAATGTGAAGATCTGAATATAAGTTATGGACCAAACTTTGGTCTTCAACATCTGCAAGCATACTTTTACAGTTCAAAGAGAAAAAAGCAAAATATATACATGCAAAGTATAAGACAAAATCGAACTTACCAACATACAGACTGCATCTTTCTCCTACCCATGCAAAATCACAGTTACACTTGAACCGAGTTGCCGTCAGGAGGTCCGATGTACAGTTCCCTCTGTTACAGGGGGAGCTGTCACAGACATTAACCTTCTCTGCGCAGGTCTCTCCAGTCCACTCTACTGAGCATGCGCAGTTGAAGGCTGTTTCGTTTCCGTTACATGTCCCTCCGTTCAGACATGGTGCAACTGCACATTGGTTGATGATGTTTTCACATCGCCTTCCTGAACAAAGTTGAAGAAATATATATGACAAGCAGCATTTCTTTCGATATTTATAACGGCCCAAAAAATAAGGACTGGGTATTGTTTCATTCAAAGGTGTTTAAACCCTTCTGCCCCTTATTGTTATAGTTAGTGTTTCAAACAGTTATATTGCTATGCTAAAAACCTCTGACAACTTGTTTGTTTTGTTTTATCTTGGGATGCGTGCATGTATATGCGTGTTGTCACACATATTTTAGAAAATGGGAGTGCAAATAAATGAATTCGGTAAGCAGTTTTTATTTATTACCCACGTGGTCAACATTTATTCTACAACTTTTACTAACACTATACATGGTGGAAGAGCAAACTGTATTTCCTTTCTAAGATGCCAAATTTAATACTTTCTAAGGTTACTTACGATTAATCTAAGGCAAAAAACAAACAGAAAAACGACGGTGTCGGTGACCTCACTTACAATCCTCGCTCACTGACGCGCTGATCTATTGACGTGTCTGCCCCCTACGTTAAGACGCACGTTATCAGAAAAACAGTGTGATGACAGTTTACGTTCGGATTAAATATCTTCTTTAAATTATTTTGTAATTACATCTGTGATTAACGTAGACCAAATGGGGCAATATGAACGTCGCATTTCCACTACCAACGTAAGTTTAGATCAGTACATCCCGATGAACGCCACATTGCACGGATGTGGGAATGTAAACATTGCGAACCTTGCCGTGTCGCTGTTTAATTGTAAGTCGAACTGAGACATTTTATCCGTCGAAAACCATAAACGTAATGTTTCCGCCAGTGATGTTAGCCTAATGAAGCAACTGCAAACCAAGAACGGGGTGCTACTGAGTAGTTATAAATGTAAGAGGCTGTACGAGGCGATAACAACTGACATGCATCGTGATGTTGGTTACCAAGGGTACCTTTGATAACGAGGGGGAAGACGAGAATGGCGTAGTGACGTTCATACAGTGTGACGTCATGCAAAAATTCTTCCGCAACCTCTTTATGAAACCGGTTTCGGTTTGAAAGCATAAAAGCAACATAAACACGTTATTTTGTCAATTTTATGCAGGTAAGACGTGGGTAATAAATACAATATTACACTCAATCTCATTACATACGAATTATACGAAACTCGTGACCTTCCTATGGTATCTGACCGAGCGAAATATGTATGTATGTAATGAGACTGAGTGTAGTATTCTCTATGTATGAGCCAAATATATGCATATGTTGTGTTACGTTACGTAAACAATCTTTAATAAGTCAACCCTATAGGTGCATTCCTATGCTTGAAACAAGGTGGATTGGGTGGTTTAGGGGATGAGTTAAAAGTTAACATCGCAATGAGAACAAGTATATTATAGTCCAGTGACTGTTGACAAAGGACAGTAAGAATCGTATTTTTCTATAGAAGCTATTATAATATTAAAACAAATAATTTCATCAGTATATCATTTAGTATAAATTAACTCTTGGCTATAAACATCAAGAAACGTTAGGGAGTAGAGTTGGGGATGTGTTTGTTTATGCCATTGCTTCCTCCACTCTATATATGCCCACAAACAGAAAGTTTATGCCATTGCAGAAACGACGTATGACAGCTGTAACAGAAAAGGTGCATTAATTCCCGTGATAGTAGTCAAAGAATTGCAGAATATATTCCATTTGGCCTGTTGTTTTTGTGAATCCATACATGATAGAGTGCAGGTATAGAATACTGACCTTTTATTCCCTCGATACAAATGCACTCAAAACTGCCGAGTGTATTTCTACACCTTCCCCCATTTTGACATGTGTTGTCAATTTCTTTGCATTCGTCGATGTCCTGATCGCAGTTGTCTCCCTTCCAACCTGCAATATTTTAGTATCGGAAAGAGTTTATATGTGCAGAAAATAGCAAAATGATTCAGATAGCCTTTCCTTTAAAATCCTGTTACTCCGGACGCCGTCTGTTACAACACGAGCTAGATGATCGCCGTCAGATGAACGTCTGAATACGGAAACAGATTTCTCTGTACACGATGATTCAAAGAAATTCGATTACTTGCAACAGCGCTTTCCCGATAGGTGCAGTTACAAAAACGAAGAAGGACAAAACAGGATTTCTGTTACTCTCTGGCCGAACCACCATGCGAGATACAAATTACAATATAGACAATATACAATGGTAGATACAAAATCTACCGGAAGATTTAACATTTCCAATTCTGAGCTGACATAATATACAACTGATATTATGGTATGATTTTAATCTTCTTGGCCTATCTCAATACACAATGTATCTTTGGAATATACAATTGTTCACATCAATGTTGAAATCAGTGTCTCACCATACCTTCAAAGCACACTTTTGCACCTGTTTGTAGGCGGCACCTGTAGTGACTGTGATTGGTAGTAGCCTTGCAATATTTCTCACACGTTGACCCGTACCAATCCGTGTCGCAGTATGCACGGACTGCAATATTTAACCTGAAAAATAGTTCACTCCATACAGTTTTAGCACCAAAGGCACACTCTTACGTATTACATGTACATCTCGTGTGCTATTGAAAGATCTCTAAAGTTTAGATCAATCAAAACTCATCATTTTAAAGTATTTATGACTCACTCTGTCCTTCCCCTCAATATGTATTGGGTGTACATAGCTGTCTCTTTTGTAGCAGTAGCTTTGATGTTTATCAGCTTAGAGAATGTGTCCAGGTGGTCATCAATGGAGGTGCCATCGTTGTCATACACCTCCACTCGTATTGTTATTGAGGACTGGAAACAAAAACGTGTTACTCCCATTTTAGTTTGTTATTTAAAACCACAAAATTCCATCCAAACAATAAATGTACCTAAATCAATAACTAGACAAATATATCGATCTGTTGGTTAACTCCAAAGTTATTAATGCTAGTTTTAACTGACGAAACAGGCGTTGATGCTGTGAGTCGATACCAGGATAGAATGGCCCACTGGTACCCACACTGAGCTCATCTATGAACTTTTCCTGTTAGTTTCCTGATCCATAATCACACAGCAGTTCAGGTTCTGTGTAATTGGTTCCATATGGGTATCATATATTTAGGTAAGAACAAACCTACCGGTACTGCTTTGGGCACTGGTATGATGAAAGGATTTGCTTGTCCTTGAATGCTGCTTCCAAAGTTGATTATATTACGGTTGTCTATGTAGTCTGTGTTGCTCTGATAAAGAGAGCAGGGGTTTCCTCCCTCATGGCTGCAATAACATTGAATGACACCATCAAGTCTACAGATAGCAAAGCACAGCATTGATAACGTAGACGTTTATTCATCTACACATGTATCAAAAATGACTTGAAAAACAAGTAGACATAGAAGGCAGATGTTCTCTCAGATGATAAAAAAAAATAAAGTCCAATGTACACAACAACTCGGGCTATGATGGTTTCAAATTCAGACACAGTGATGAACATATTCAAGGCAATTTGGCAAGCAGCACTTCTTACATACTTGTTGTAATAATACAGTTTGATAACCAAAACACAAGACAAGATAATACACAAATCATGATCACAGAAGTGCCAGGAATATAATTGTGAGATAGAAAACTACCCCCAAATGAATGTGTTTGACTCGTGCGTTTTCCGAATAAATAACTTTAATGTACTTACCCATAGATGCACAGAGAAAACTTTGGATCACATTTATCAGAGCACAAAACTTCACAACAGTCCCCGCTGATTGTCATGCCATCTGACCAGTAACTGTTGAATCGAATGTCCAGTTTACCGCCAGTCTTCACACGCTGTAAAACATAAAGATATATAATCGGACATATGGTTGATTGGTTGTTGTTTAACGCCGCACTCATCAATATTCCAGCTATATGGTGGCGGTCTGTAAATAATCGAGTCTGGACCAGACAACCCAGTGATCAACAGCATGAGCAGTTGGGATACGATCACATATGTCAATATGTGTCGACCACACGATCCCGTTAGTCACCTCTTGCGACAGGCGTGGGTTGCGAAAGACCAATTCTGACCCGGATCTTTACGGGTCCGGAGATATGGTAATGGTATAAATAATACATGCAGAGTATGGGACTATGTAGCAATAACGTTGATATGAAGACTTTCTTTCAGTATATGTTGTATCAAAAGAATTATGTATTCCAAAAGATTGTGTACAATGAGTAAACTAACATCATTGAGCCTCTGTAGCTATGTGTTTGACAAGAACTGTGACCTGCTTCGGGAGAACACCTACACAAGAGGATCCTGTTAAATACAAAAAACACAAACACTAACTTAAACAAACATGTGATATGAAACAGCAATTGTGTCAGTGTTAGCCTCGCATAAGCTGTTTTGGTTTGTATTCTTCATACAAGATTAGAACATTTTGTAGAAACTGATGAAAGTATTCAGAATACCAGTGTGGCTTTAATCATGAACATGTAGTTATATTCTTATTCGGCATTCTTCGGTACAAAGGTAGTAGAAGTAGTTTTAATTATTTCGGAGTTCAAAATGTAATAAGGGGGAAATGTCTAATAGATGATGAAGAAGCAAGATGTAATGTTTGTAATCTTCCACTGTTCACGATTTTCAACAGTGAAAAAAACATTTTCTGACAAATCAAATATTTTTGTCTCACTATATCATATTTTGTGCATGTTCAGCAAACATGTCTTCAGCTTTACAATAAAGAAAAATTGTAAAGTAAAATGTATTTCCATTGCTCCCACACTAATGCACTGGTCTCTGCGCATCATTTTGCCAGCATTGTGGCTGTGGGACTAACGGCTTACGATCACCAAATACATGGTGTGTCTGTTCAATCGAAGTAAACCAGAAATCGTGTGTTTATCCTTGGTAATGTGAACTCGATAATCCTTAAATATATCGTAGTGTGTGCTTTGATCCTTAAGAAACTACGTTGTCAATACTACACTTCAAAATTTAATGGCATATGCAGCAGCTATATCTCTAAACATGTATGGTCAATAGTCGGCAGGGTAAATATATACTCTCCAAACCAAGTAACGCACAGGTGATATTGATACATGAAATTTCAACATATTGTACTTCAATCTGCCGTTGCAGGTCGCCAATATATTCAGTACCATCTGTCATTTATGGGGGCACCGATATCAACAAAGCAATTCTGCGCATACTAAGTGGTAGACCCCGGATTATCACTGCGGTGCAGGTACATCCGAGTACTTCATTTACAGAATCGCCATAGCAAATGTAACTGCAGGTTGAGTGTCAACGCAAACCATTCGTAATCGAAGCTGTACTGGAAGCTGGAAGACCCTAATTCCCTAATTTGACCCTGTGCTGCGACGACTACATCGACGTTGACGGGTCCAGTGGTGCAATAACGTCCGATTCTGGAATCTACAAACCTGCCGACGCGTATGACATCCAAATGAACATTTTGCCCAGAATTGTGTTGCCCAGGTTAAGCGATATGGTGAGAGTGTCATGATGTGGGGGAAAATATCCTACATGCAGAAATCTATTTTATTTCGCCTCCAGGGCTATTCTGTACAGAGACGAAATCTTAAGGATCCTGGGTGTCACGTTGGCCACAAAAGACAACACCCAATTGGGAACAGACGACTTCACGTATTGACTGTGAAATTTGGCTGCAACTGATCCAGAATTACTCGTGTTATCTTACTTTAAAGTTTGCAGATTACATTCGTGAAAATACACCTATGCGTTTCTTTTTTGGGAGAGTATACATGATAAACTGATGTACAGACAATTACCACTTTACAAAAAAAAACAATGTTAAGGGTATCATGCTGACATGTATTATCTTGATAATCGTCTGGACATCAGCTCCGGCAAATATTCTCACATCAAATTGAGATGCGTGATCTTACTGAAATTCTGTTCGAATTGTTCAAACCAAACGCACTTCCTTACCCGCATAGCTTATACATAGAACATCTAAAATGAACTGTACCGTTAGACTCAGCAGTTTTCTGGCTACATCTCAATGACCTGTAATTAACGTCTGAACCAGACAGACCAGTGACAGCATGAGGGGTACGATAAAAAAAGTAATGACCAGGTTTATCATTGTATAATTACCCAGTCCTCGATTTTTCTATGGCATTAGAAATTCGTTTCGTTTAAGACTAGTCCAGTGGTCAAGCGACAACCTTATTTCACTATCTAAATAAGCAGTTATGGTGCGTGACATGTGTTATCTAAAAGATTAGAGGCCGGAAATACAATGAACAGTGTCACGTTTTCTTTCATTGATGGGCATATAATTTTGTCAAGGGTATGATCATTCTGAAAAGAAACACAGAGGCTATCCCTCGTGGCTATGGTGACGAACGCCGAGCTAAGGTCATACATTATTTAACCAGGTTTCTGATACTGCTTCTTACTTTTGCATTTCCTGTCAGTTATTATTCACTTTCTACATGTGCATGATGAATTTTTAGAACGCGTCACTGGTAAGTGTCCTATGAAGGGGCAAGAGGTATCTCGTGACTGTTTAAATTCACATGAAAATACTATCAATGAGTTCACACAACATGTGCATCAATTCAAGTATTCCTCACACAGTAGGGCGTGTGCTGATTATTAGAGCTCTGAGAGTTAAGCCGACCCACCATATTTCCCATTCATAGACTGATAATGGCATTGAGTGTTCATGGCTTCCCGTATGTGTTAAGGTATAGAATAAACATTGATTATAACGCCTTAAGTTATTATTCATTAAGAGTATCAGTATTCTCAGAGAACTGATTATTCGTTCACTTTGAACTTAAGAACATAACTGAACTTGTCTGATATTGATAATGTAGACTGACATACGTGTATTTGTCTTCATTGCAACGCTTAAAAACTAAGGAAGCTCCATGTATGTAAATAATGTGTACATTACAGTCACGTCTAAATTACTTCACACAAACTGAACTACATTGCTTTGATATATATTCCATCGAGAGATTGGATTAACAAAAAGGACACATGAATTCATGCACCCTATTGTAAAGACTACGCATGTAAGTAGATTCATCTTGAGAAGTAAAACATCCTAGTACGATATATGGGTAATATACTTGTGTCCTCTAACTAGCATATATACTCTCATGCTAACTAGACAGCTTCAGGAGATGAAATGTTTACCTACCTTGATAATCAACAGCCAGAGAAGTAAAGCCACGTGTATTCCTCTTGTCTTCATCTTAAATAGCGTTATCCCTTACAGGTGTGCCGATGGCACTGGATAAAGATCGGATATCAATTACATAATACAACTCACTGGTTTATCCGGTGGTCGTAACTTCCCTTTAACTCCAGTGACACGCAGTGAATATAACAGGGTTCATTTGTTCTAATTTGCCGTGTTGCGGAAATACATAGAAAATACGACGTTAGTCAACCTGTTTACATCAACATTGAATGTTGGAGCTGTAATTGGCGCTCCTCCAGGGTCATGGGTAAGGAAGTAGAATATTTTTTGTCTGGCTTCACTTCATGATTGAGATATGCTATGCGAAAATAGTAGGTATATTATGGGGGTTTTAGGTGTAAATCCAAGAACATACGTCAGTGTCTGGTATTGAGGGAACAACTCTCTCTCCCAATACAACGTTGTGACAGTCACGTACCGGGCTGTCAGCAGACTAAACACTACAAGACACTTTATAAAACGCATGTATTCAGTAAGAAAGAAACAATATTGTGTATGCGGCACTTGGAACGTCCTGAACGTGTGTTTGACATTGGTTTGTTACAGGACACGTTGTTGCCCAAATACTACATGCACAGGCAAAGTGTAGCGCAAATAGGGCTGCGCAACAGAGAGAAAAATCACCAGTCTTTCTATATGTGAGCGAAGCGAGCAAAAGTTGCTTCCCTCGCTTCGGTTCGAAAAATATTTTTAATATTAAATTAAAATATCGACACCAACAAAGGTAAACACCCTTTTTCTAACAGGATTGTGCTCTCAGATTTCCAACCTCATAATTAGTAATTACTCACGTACAATATATTCAATTAACATTTTAAGCTACACTCGTGACATGTAAAATCGTTTTTCGCCTCCATTACCCCTGTCGGCTTCCGGTTCAAAACTTAATTAGTGCTAAAATAAAATATTTATGTACCCTTTCACATAAGATATAACTGAACTAGTGTTCAAAATTCCGTTAACCCAAACCCACTCCATCATCCAGGAATAGCTCACATGGGAAACAGGAAGTGTTCTTCCTATGGT